TGTGGGACCTGAGTAGGATTGCTCAACTCTGCAATAAAGTCCAAATTAAATTTGTGTAATACTTGCAAAATATTTTAAATGCTTTTTAAAAATCCATGTTAAACATTCGCTTGTTTATTTATTTAAATTTTAACTATGCTCCACACCCAACGTGGGGCTTGAACTCATAACCCTGAGATTAAGAGGTGCATGCTCTACCGACTGAGCCAGCCAGACACCCCCTTAAACAAATATTTTAAATGATTGATTAATTCTGCAAAGAAATCTGACTTACCAAGGCAGGATACCAATCAGTCTTCTCAGATGTAGATGCCACACTTACAACTTTTCCTAATAATTCATCATTGAGACGTCGCTTATCTTCATCTTCCTCTTCACTACTTTCTTCTTCCTTTTCATCTTCATTACTAAAAGTCAGAATAACTTTATCAGGATCTTCACATAAGCCATTGTTGAGACAGTCAGAGTGGTGTGAATTTAACATGTACAATTCAATTTCTAATGTGGATTACTCCAGAGTAGTAGTTTTTTCATTCTTACTGAAACTGAAGAGATAGATACTTCCCTAGTCCCAAAGTAGTCCTGAGCTATCCATGGTAACTCTGAGTCCACGTCACTAGATGAATGAGGATTTGGACTTAGCTCTTATGCCAACCACCAGCTGGGACAGAAAAGCCTAATTATGTCACCATGAAGTACATACTGTGCCAGTTACATTTTTTTTAAAAAAGACCGTCCTTCTACTTTTTATGTATGCCAGATAATGTAACTCTAATTTCCTAACAGATTATGAAAAGATCTCATTAAGAAACATGTGAGGGTTTAAGTTCACTTACCTAGACAATAAAATAAGCAGACAAACCCATAGAGAGGAAAAGCCTACAAAACTGGCCTGTACTCTTCAAAAATATCAAGGTCATGAAAAGACCAAAAAAAGCTAAAGAACTTTTCCAGATAAAAGGAGATTGAAGAACCATAAAAACTAGGGATCCCTGGGTGGCTCAGCTGGTTAAGCATTTGGCTCAGGTCATAATCTCAGTGTCCTGGGATCGAGCCCCACATCAGGCTCTGTGCCTGGTGAGGAGTCTGCTTCTCCCTCTCCCTCTGCCCCTCACCCCTGCTCGTGCTCACTCCCTCTTGCTCTCTCTCTAATAAACAAATAAAATCTTTAAAAAAAGTAAGAACCATATAAACTAAATATAATGCATAGTCTTGGATTGGATCCTGGATTCAGGGGATGCTTATAAAAGGCTACTATTGGGCCAACTGGCAAAATTTGAAATACAAATTATATGTTATTAGACAATAGCATTCTATGAATGTTAAATTTTCTGAATTTGGTAATCATACTTTGACTATGTAAGAATTTCCTTATTCTTAAAGTGTTTAAAGGTATGCTTTAGGTATGATGCTTCTAATATCCTCTCAGATGGTGTGACCAATTAAAATGATCATTAAATAAAAAATAAGTATAATAGGTACCTATAGAGTAAATGATAAAGTAAATGTGCCAAAAAAATTTAACAATTAGTGAATCTAGATGATGAGTATATGAAAGTTTATTATATAATTTTTTTAAAAGATTTATTTTTAGACAGAATGAAAGAGAGAGAGAGTACGTAAATGGAGGGAGGGGAGGCGAATAGGAAGAGAATCTCAAGGAGACACTCTGCTGAATGCAGAGCCCAACAGGGGGCTCAATCTCTCAACCCTGAGATCCTGACCTGAGCTGAAAACAAGAGTCAGACGCTCAACTGACTGAGCCACCCGGGAGCCCCGAAGTTTATGTATCATTTTTAAGTTTGAAATGTTTTTGAGATAAAAAGGCTAAAAAATACATATGCTCACTTAAAATAGAAAAAACATATCAATTAAGGAATTTGACAAAGTAACTCCAGACAAAAATAGCCTTTTTGAAAAAGGCGTTGTGGTGATAATTCTTGGACAAAGTAATGGGAATAATTAAAAAAGAGATCTGCTCAAGGTAAAATATCTAACATAAGGATAAAAGATACTATGGAAAAGTTACCTGAACAATTTTAGCCATCCTAGAAAAATCATTTGTTTAATGTTGTAATAATTGTAACGTTACTGTATATGAAAAAACACTCACACAGGAAGAGAGGACCTCCTTCCTCTGTTTGTCTTCTTTGCAATTACTGGAGTTCCAAAATGCTCTGGATTTGTTAAGGGAAGCTGGTCAAGTGTCTAGGTAAGAAACAACAGACAAATTAAATCACATTTTGCCTCGACGTTAGAAGTTATTCAACCAAAAAAGCCCATCCATGGCACCCTACCTCACTCTCAGCAAAATGTCTCTCTCCTTTTAGGCAAAGTGAAGTGCGTCTCAGTGTTCTCTCATCACCATCATCAAACACTACAATAAGCAAGAGATACCAGAGAATTTATGCACACTAAGTAAAAATTTCACTGCAGAGAATACTCTTATTCCTATTTATCTATCCTTTGTTTAATATTTGTAAGAACCATTATTTGTTAATTATTCAAAACCTTTTAAAATGTACATACTACATTTTTCATTCTGTAGCTGCCAAACAGACGCAAGTTAAATGGCTTCCCCCAACTGCTTAGGTATCTCCATTCACTTGTTCAATTTCTATCACTACAGAACCACCTTCTTGAAACCACTAGCAACCTAGTCAAAACATGGATTATTAAATTATCTTTAATCCTAAAATGAGCAAAAACCTGGTTTATGGGGCACCTGGGTGGCTCAGTCGTTAAGCATCTGCCTTCGGCTCAGGTCAGGATCCCAGGGTCCTGGGATCGAGCCACACATCGGGCTCCCTGCTCGGCGGGAAGCCTGCTTCTCCCTCTCCCACTCCCTCTGTTTGTGTTCTCTTTCTCGCTGTGTCTCTCTCTGTCAAATAAATAAATAAAATCTTAAAAAAAAAACCAAAAAACCTGGTTTAAAAAAAAAAGTATTATGGGTTTGTTCCCAAAAGTTATCAGAAGTATCTCTTAACTTCCAGGAACTGTTTGCCTTCTGGTAATGCTTCTTGGATTATTGGACTCTTCTACTTACTTGCATGATAACTTACTATAGTAGAAGTACTGGCTGCCCAATTCTAAAGTCGTAAGATTCACCTTTTTTCTTTTGCTAGAGGATGTAAGAAGTTTAGAAATAGGGCGCCCGGGTGGCTCAGTTAAGCATCTGCCTTCAGATCGGGTCACGATCCCAGGGTCCTGGGATCCAGCCTGGCATTGGGCTCCCTGCTTAGCGGGGGTCTGCCTCTCCCTCTCCCTCTGCTGCTTGCTCACTTGCTCTCTCTCAAGTAAATAAAATCTTTAAAAAAAAAAGTTTAGAAATAAAACACTGAAACAAGGAAACATCAGAAAGATGAAAAATATTTTTTAATTTAAGAAAGTTAGTCATAATTGCACAGAAGCTTCCTCAAAAGCTTTTACTACATTTTTTAAAAATCATACTGTGTGGAAACTATGTTTAAATATTTCAGGGAAATGGGGGAAAGGAATTTAACATTTTATCACTTTTATTCTCCATATAACTAGCTGTATTATTTTTATAGGTTTAATTTTTCAGAAATGCACTCTTATTTTAACATCTAACATTTACAAAGTTTATTAAAAAGAAAATGCTCTCAGAAGACACCTGATTGCCCAGCATTATGAAGAAATAAAAAAGATGGAATCCTTACCTCAAATACTTATAACGCAAACATCAATAAATGTTTGTATATCTTATGAAAATAACATACACACAAAAATAATTACTTTAAGATTTAATCCTAATGTAATTCTAGAGGTTTTTCCATTCTAACAGAATTAAGTTAGTGTTAATAAAGGGAAATTCTACATTACTTTGCTTTAATAATATTTAATCATAAACTTATTTTTTTCACGCTAAGAACTTATGTAAGAGCACTCAACTTCTTCAATATTTATCTACCTCAGTCAGTTCTTCTCTTAGACTAAAAACATCTAGTTTAAATTCTCTTACATGCAAGAGACAATGCAGAGAAAATGAAAAGTTCCTGAAGCACATATTCAAAGAGCCATAATGCTTCCACAAAAGGAGCTGTGTTGTACACTGTCAACGATGCAGAAATTAATGACCACCTACAGACACAATGACAGGATAAAACACAACATCCTCCAACAATTACATTACTAATCTACAACTTGATTAACAGTGCTCTAAACATTTGTAACAAAACTATGATTCATATGGTGTCAAGTCTAATAAACAAACCACTGTTCCTTTAAAAATTCAAGATCATGAATTTATTGTACCAAACTTAAAATAATTCATGTATTAATATCCCTAAGTATACTAAGGAATAACACCTTAAGAGTTCCGATTTTCCTTAATGCCTAGAATATGAAAGATGGTGACAATGGACACACATTGCTCATATGCACACACATTTAAGTGGAGGTATGAGGAAGGAAAATGAGACTATAAGACCAGTCAATAATATCAAATTTATGCAACAAAATGTTTTCCACCGTGTTTCATCATTAATCAATGGCAGCCCCAAATCAAATGTTCTGATGAAAACTTTCCAAATTTTTCAAAGATTTTATTTATTTGAGAGAGAGAGAGCACACAGGAGCAGAGGAAGAGGGGGAAGCAGGCTCCTCACTGAGCAGGGAACCCAACATGGGGCTTGATCCCAGGACCCTGGGATCATGACCTGAGCCAAAGGCAGACACTTAACCAACTGAGCCACCCAGGCACCGTAAATCAAATTTTTGAAGGAAAAAATGCATTACACTTCAACATACTTTATCATGGGTAGAAATAATGTAAGAACAACAAAAAAAAACCTCTAAAGGGAATTGTGGTACCAATAACAATTTCACAGTTTTACACAGGAACACTTACAACTTCGAGTGAACAAAGAGAAACAGTTTAAATTTATTTTGAACTCCTAAAACTATACAAAGGCATGTATTTAAGTACTTCATACAAGTATGAAAAGCTATATGACTATTCAAGATTTTCTGAAAGACAGAATACCCAACATCACAGCGAACCTTGTAGTCATGACATCTCTAATTATCCAGATCATGAGGAAGTTCCATCTATAAAAAGCTTCCTCTATAACTTTCACGTTAGAAGTATCATCTAAAGAACACCAAATCTGTAGGCACTGAAGAGTGACTCTGGCATTTTGGTAAGAGTGAAATAATTAAATATTCATAGTAAATTTAGCTCCTTTTAGTTCAAGATGTATACTGTATATGCCAAGAGGAAAAAGTCAGACTATAAGGATTTATAAATCTATGAAATGTTTTATACTTGCCAAAACTGGCATCTGAATAGACCACTGAGTGCAAGAGTATAAAAGCAGTACCTCTGGAGGCACCTAGGTGGCTCAGTCAGTTAGGTGTCTGCCTTCGGCTCAGGTCATGATCTCGGGGTCCTGGGATGGCCCCAAGTAGGGCTCCCTGCTCAGCAGGGAGTCTGCCTCTCCCTCACCCTCTGCCCCTCCCCACTGCTCGTGCTCTCTCTCAAATTTTTTTTAAAAAGTGATATCTCTATTACTATGTTACATATAAATACTAAAACATAATTTGACAAAAATGACAAAGCTAAGTCTCTTTCAATAATGTTAATCATACTAGACAAAACAATGCCTATGTAAACAAATATACAAAGCCTAACTCTAAACTGTTAAAATTAAAAGAAACAAAAGCAACAGGGATCTATCTACTAAATACAAATGCTCTACCTGTGATCATAGCGCCGTTAGATGCTGGAGGATAGTAAGATAACGGTATATTAACTTTATCTCTCCAAAGATATAATTAGCTATCACTTATTAAGCTTCTATCATGTACTAATCCTCACAACAGCCTCTGCAAGGTAGGAATCACTATCCTCCTGTTATGAATAAATTGAGAATCAGAAAGCTACAGTTTTGTTAAGGGGGATCAAAATGAGTAATAAATAGGTATGAAGCAGAGGCATAAAATGAACACAGGAGAGAAAGTCAAGAATTCTGACTTTACAAAAATAAAATACTATTATTATATCTGTGTAGCAGTTACAATTAATAGTATATTTATATATTTATATATACACATTTATATATTAAGAAAATATTTCGCATAATGGAATTAAAAACTTTAAAATTACATACCTTGGGTATAACCAATAGTTCTGTTACATAAAATCATCTGTGATACAGAAGTCCCTCTGCAGCCAAGGTCAAAAACTTCAGAAATCAAGGAACTTAAGAAATTAGCACTCAAATGTATACTGAAATTGACAAACTATCATGGGAATGCTAATTCTTATGGAAGGCCATCTAAATAATAGGTTAAAGCGTATCACAGGAATGCATAGGTTTCTTCTGGCTGAGTACTTTTTTTCTTAATGATTTTCTAGTCAGTGGAATAACCACCTGGTTTTGAAAACATCTGTGGTCGATTTTGGTTATAAAAAAACTTGTCATAAGAGGTTCTAACTAAATTAAAAAGCCTTATAAGCCTGCAGCACATTCTACAAAAGTCAGTCCATTCACCAGTTTAATCTAAACCTCCTCTACTCCATTAACTAGAACTTCGATGCGATCTGATCCAATTGACGTGCAAAACAGTAATTACAAGGCCTGAAAAAATCCTGAGTCTTAAAAAGCATTTGTCACAAAAATATATAATCAAATAGAATTTTGGTTTTTTTTTAAGTTTTTATTTATTTGAGAGAGAGAGAGCACAATCAAGAGCATGAAGGGGGAAGAAGAGAGAATCTCAAGCAGGCTCCGCGCTGAGTGCAGAGCCCAACATGGAACTCGATCTCAGGACCCTGAAATCATGACCTGAGCTGAAACCAAGAGTCAGATGCTTAACTAACTGACCCACCCAGGTGCCCACAATCAAATAGATTTTAGTGTAAAATTTGACAAATTACATATGTGTATATGCATTTTATATGTAAATTACTAAAATTAGTAACAATTCTGTCCTTTACATTTTCCTATTTTTCAGGTACAATGTGTTATTTTTATATTCCAAAAAGGTGAAAGAAGAGTAGTTTTAGAGTGTCTTATTGACAGCCCTATTTACCAGGAGTTAATGGCAACATTCAAATGAAGATACAAATTCCAATCCTCATTTTGATACCTTTTGAATGACTAAAAGGATAATGATACATTTCCATACATTACACATTCCTTGTCTTTCATGCAAAAATAAGAACTGCCAAATAAATAAATTATGCTAGGAAGCACTGTTTTATTATAAGAAGAGGAATTATTTCCAAGGCTCAAAGAAACAAACAAAAAAAATCCATAAACTGGAGCTATTTATTATTCAACATTAGAGGGCCAGGTGTTACTAGATTTTTAAGTTAGGTTATATTAGATCTGTAATCTCTTTCAAAATTGGCCATTCAGCTATCACAGAAAAAATACCTACATTATGTAAGTTGTTACCAGACTCATTAGATAATTTTTGATCACCAATGATCATAACTTTTATTTGATCCAAACCAGTGGTATGGTATCTTTTCTTTCGTTTTTAATAGTCAAATTTTGAGATCATTTAAAATTAAAAAAATGATATGGAGATCATTAATACTTTGTGTAACTTTCTGATTCTACTTATATAATACTTCACTAGGAATTAGAAATCAAGAAAATTTTCAGAAAAAAAGGAATTAAACCCAACAGGCAGTAGTCACTCAATTAAAGAAAAAACATAAAACATTCATGACCTGTGAGAGATGACACATTTTATTTTGCCATCTTTTAGGCTCATTATGCTCGAATCATTCTTTATATGGGCTACATCCTTCAATACCTAAATATTCCTTAAAGCAGAGTGCTATATTAAACATACTTAAGTGAATAGTGCTTTTTTTTTTAATTTTAATTTTTTTTTTTAAAGATTTTATTTATTTATTTGAGAGAGAGAGAATGAGAGATAGAGAGCACGAGAAGGAAGAGGGTCAGAGGGAGAAGCAGACTTCCCGCTGAGCAGGGAGCCCGATGTGGGACTCGATCCCGGGGCTCCAGGATCATGACCTGAGCCGAAGGCAGTCGCTTAACCAACTGAGCCACCCAGGCGCCCTGAATAGTGCTTTTTAACATCTTAAATTTTTTAGGTCACTTGCTGCCATTATGCAGATGCAAAAAACTTAAATATTTTGAATTTTTCTCCTGAATAAGTCTCTGTTTCTCCAAGTATTGACTATTTTACTAAATGTGTACTACCTGCATTAAGTTCACCCAATGTAATTATAAAAAGAAAGATTCTTGGGTTGCCATCCCCAGACCTAGTAAATTGAAGAGATTTGAAGTCCTCAAATCCTCATTTTTTAAAACAAGCATCATGTGATTCTTATGTACACTAAAGCTTGATACACGAATTACATGCAATTAAGATTCTAAGCTCTTTCAGAAAAAGAATTATACAATTTCTTCTGCAATTACCCATCATAGAAAATCACCATAGAGAATGCTCAGTAGCAACTAGCTTTTAGAAATGCTAAAATGCCATTCATACAGAGGATAAAGATCGGCTATTGTGGAGTGCAGAAGTCCAAAATGTGAAAACCTGAAAAGTATCACTTCTGCAGAAGCATAAGCATTATATCAGTAAAACTTCACAAGTACTGTCAATGCAACCTTGATATTAAGTACCAAATAGGATGCAATATTAGTATTTGAATATGCATCATATGATCTTGCATAATTTTGCATATATGAATGCCTGTAATTTTTACCACTGGTTTAATATACTAAAATTATATTTACTTGATTTCTAAGAGTTAATATTAAACTTGGTTTCTAAATCCCTAACAACTATCAACGGCCACAACCAAGCTTCCTAAAATATGTAGTTCAGAATAACAGCCCCGTTGTGAACCAACACCAATTTCTATGAGATCCAAGAATAAAAAGTTAGAAAATAGTTACATAAAACAAATTGGTACTACTAATAGCAGCCGCAAAGTTAAGACACAGGAAGTACAATTTTTAACCAAAGCATGTTGTTCACAGCTTTGAGCATCACCTGAAGATGAATGATTTTTACCCAAAGCAACAAACCACGTAAACTAAAAGCAAACCTATAGGATCATTTTTTCTCCTTCCTTAAGGAAACCACACCATGATTACATCACTTATACCAAGACATAAATGTAAAAACCAAACAATGGTATAGATGTTCAGTGTAAAACAAAAGATTGGATGTTATCCACAGGACTGTATAGTATGAATGTACTGAGAAGAGATTTGGAAATGTTAATCATTGCTATTTTCATCAACATAATGACAGCAACTACATAACTACTACATTTAGGTTTTAGTTTACATATATTAAGACACTTGTTGCTACTCACAACAATAAAGTTTTTTAAAGCCAGTATAAGCTTATACATAGAATGTTAAGTATGCATTCACATTGGTAGCATATATATCTTTCCTGAAAGGTGTTACAGAGACTTGACTGGGTCAAAAAAATCAAAAATTAAGCTACGATCATCTAGACTTGAATCTACTCTAGTCAGAATTTTTTTAGTCTTTAAATTCTGCGGTGACATCTGTATTACCCTTATGTAAGACAGGCAGCAATACAATAAAAGATTACAACTGTACAATCTTAATTGTAATTACAGGAAAAGTAAAAAAGTCTGATTACTTACAATACCAATTTGTATGAACTTTCTAATGGAAGAAAATAACCATGTAATTTAACTTTCTTGAAAAGAAATAATCTAGGTATTCTAAAAAAGAAGTACATTCTTGGATAAAATAGCCACAAGTGACCAAAGAAGTAATTATTTTTGTTACCAGCAGGTGTCATTAAAATTTTAGCCAACTATATCAAGTAAATTGACAGTAAAGAATACATATTTCTCCGCCAATGTAATTCAATGTATTTACAAAATAGAGGTATGCAATCCCAAATTAAATCCCATGTATTAAATTAACTACTTACCCACAGTATACCAACTAGCATCTGTCAACTTGCTGATAATAGCCTCCTGAAAGGATCCATCAGATGTCCTTGTTTCAACAATAGCTCCAACCTAAAACCCAGTATCAAAATTTCATTATCAAATTTAAACAAACCAAATCACTCCCACCAACTATATGACCTGGGTTGAAAAGAAAAAAATACCTATGATAATTCTACTTTACATTGACTTAGATCTTTATCATTTATAGTGCTCATATATTTATCACGCAATTTGAACCCCAAAACGCCTCGGCACAAGTAAGGTTATTATTACC